CAGGTGAGTCCTTCCTCTCACACTTCCCGCTCCGTGGACTGCTGTTTGTTCTTTGCCATGCGCAAGATCACCCCAACCAGAACAAGGGTCTTACTCAGTAGTCTTGAGTGGCTTGGAACTCCATGTAGATCAGCTTGGCCTTGAACTCAGATCCGATGCCTCTGCCTCCCAAGTTCTTTGAATGAAGATACATATGCACCACCAGGCCTGGCACTTTCTCTAGTTAATTGATGTGTGTGTGCTGGCATCTGGGTGCCAGAGGTGATGTCAGGTGTCTCCTTTCTATATTACTTTTGGAGACAGGGTCTCTTACTGAGCCTGGAGTTCATTGATTCCACTCATCAGTAACAAGCTCAGGGGTCTTCCTGCTTCCAGGATTTCAGGCACAGGCCACTACACCCTGACTTACGTGTGCATGCTGGGAATCTGAACTCAGGTCCTCAGTCTTGAAAGGCAAACCGTCTACAAACCAAGCTGTTCTTGGCCTCTGACCTTAAGCTTTTGATCTCTTGCCTCAGCCTCTTAAGTAGATAGAATTTCAGGTCTACAGCACCAGCCCTGCTAGAGTAAGGAGTCTTCCATCGCCTCCCTCACAGCCTTTGATACCGCTGCTCACGGCAGGGCCCAGGTTACAGTTGCTGTGCTTCTCCTAGTGTTCCTTCTGTGTGAGGCTGAGTGGACCAAGACTGGATAAAGGGGGAAACGAAGTCTCTAAGGTCCTTGTTGCCATGGCTGTCTCTGGCTTTCATAAGGCCTTTTCTTCTCTTCTACCTAACAGTACTATGGCATGACGGAGATGAACTACTACACAGTCCTGTTCGGAGTGTCGAGGGCACTGGGTGTGCTGGCACAGCTCATCTGGAGCAGAGCCCTAGGCCTACCTCTAGAGAGGCCCAAATCCATGAGCACGGACGGTCTGATGAAGCTGGTGGACTCTAAGTCAGGGTAAAACGGGAGATTGGGGACATGGCTAAGAAAATGAGGAAGCTTACAAATAAAGTATAATTTTGTTTTGTTTCAGGGGCCTTTAAGACTTAAGATTAAACTGTTTCTGAGGCACTGAAAATACATTTGAAGTTAAAATATAAATTAAGAGTTAAAAGATGAAAAGCGACCCCTTCTTCCCTCACCAGCTCACTTCCCTACCTGGTATGAGTTGTCCACCAACTGTAGGATAACCAGGACTAATGCATGAGGTCAGGGTTAGATCTGGCTGCCCACCATCTCTAGAGTGAGAGTCTGGCTCCTCTTCTTTAGGTCAAAGCAGGTTACAGAAAAGCTGCAGTCACCCTGTGAAGCTTTTGCTTCTACTCCACCAGCCCTCCAAACCACTGGGGCCGGGCCGGGTCCTTTTGTCACTGTAGGGGTCATGTGGGTGTCAGCTGTGTCCGACCCATTTGCCTTTTCCTGTGTGTGCAAGATCTACTGGTTAGCGGGAAACACTTTGGCAACTTTTTTGCTATGGTCGGGTGACCATCAACGGCATGGTATTTATTGTAACTGGTACCGAGCATTTAATTCTATTTCTCTTTTTAAATTATACCATTAACGTTGAAGTCTGGGAGTGTTCTGTTTCCTTCCAGGCTTCCTACACCTGCTGTGCCTCAGCGGAGGATGCTCTGGGTCTCCTGTCCTAGCCTCTGCTAGAGTCCTCTTAGCAGGTCTTGATCTGTGGTCTTCCCAGTCATTTGGCTCTATCAGTACTTAATGTGAACTAGGCCTTTACTTCATGGAACATAAGCCACTCTCTTCTGACCTTGTTTTCCCTGTTAATATGCTCTGGCACACAGAACAAGGGCTCAGGAATGACCAGCCCCTTCATGGTCTGGTCCCAGGGGTTCTAGCTTTCTTTTTGAACAGAAAAATGACTTGCAATTGAATATAGTTCCCTTTGAATATCAGTTGGACTAGGTCTGCGGGAATTCAAAACAGTGAGCCTTCTCATCCCCTGCGCCAAGGACATGTCCCTTTATTTATCGATGTCTTTCTCTTGCTCTTTCCTTAAGAGCTCACAGTATGGTGTTTATTTTAGCAGCCCCAATTTGCACAGATTTTCAGTGACTCAGAATGCTCCACTGCCCTTTCTTTGGGAAAGGGTTGAGATACACTCCTGTTGTGCCCCTCCTTACCCCAGACTCCTGCCTGTGTTTGTGTGGAACCCAGACCCCAGGGCCACACTGCTGAGATGGACACACTGTAACCCCTGGGTAACTGTTAAGTCATGATGCAGACTTCAGGTTGTTCTGTATAAAATGAAAAATAATAAATGTTTTTATTAACAATGCTTGAGCTTGCTATTGCATAAGGCCTGAAAGAATCATTATGAGGTGAGGGATGTGGTTAGGAAGGTCCAAACTAGTGGGTGGTCAGTGATTCTGTGTATTCCTTTTACTTAAGGATTAGACATTGAAGGGGAAGGCTGATTTCCAAAGAGGTTAGGAAGTCCTCTACCTTTAACCCCCATCCCTCCTGATTTGGAAAGACTATGACAGAGACCTCACAAGTACTTGCCTGACTAATCCAGGAGCTGGTCTAGCCCACTGGGTGAAAGGAACAAGAACCAACCGTACGTACCAAGGACAGATGGAGGACTGCTAGATCCAAACCCAGACCCTAGAGGGTGCTTGTAGCCAGTGTCTTACCTTTATCACTTCCCTTAAGGAGGCCCCCCAAAGTAAGGGGTAGTCCTGGGGGGCAGTAGATAGAGGGGAGGTCTAAGACACATGAATCTGTCCCGAGACTCCTGCTACATCTGACCTTCTGAAAAAAATCTATAAATAGGCAAGAAGATAGGTGGTAGGTCCTGGCCTACAGGACATGCTACTATAGTTAGCAGGGACACTGTGTCCACGAGGCTGTCTTCCCCTTTCCTCCCACAGGAGAGGGGCTATGGCTTTACCTACTCTGCTTATTATGTCACGCCCCCACCCCACCCCGAGAAACAATACAAAAAAAGGGGGGCGAATTCACACTGTCATAATTTATTGAAGTTTTATAAAAACTCAGGCCGCGTGGAAGAAAAGGTACATCCCAATAGTATAGGCCACACTGTCACGCACGGGATTCCTCCTCCTCTGCTCTGTGGCATGATGGACGGTGCAGCAGCTCCCCTCCACTGTCACACAGCATGGTTGCGCTCCTGAGCTGAGGCAGGTTGCCTTCTCCCCTGAGAAATCTTAGCAGGGTAGGAGTTAGTTGCCAGCCAGTACCTCTGTGAGGAAGTTACTGCTATATTCGCTTGACCTGGCCCAGAGACCTCAGCCCTGGTTTTTATTCGGTGTGGAACGGCTGTGGGTGTATGAGGCTTTCAGAACGCTCCTGACCCTTTCTGTGTGTCTCACTTCCACATCTGTTATCTTTTCCCACATGTCCACCCAGCATGCAGCCCGGTTTGGGAAGAATTGAGAGGCGAAACTTAGACCTCTCTCTGAGCAAGAGCCAAGCCGAATAAATAAAAGTTTGGTGGGAAGAGGGGTGGAGGCAAGAGAGCAGTCCTTTGTCTCAGGTCTGGTGCACTTCGTGGAACATGAGTTCACGGGGGATGGCTGTTTCTGGGCCAAACTTAGTGGCTGCCCGGCGCTCAAAGGCAGCAACATTCTGCTTGACGACCTCATCAAAAAACATGGTCGCCAACTGGGAGTGCAGCAGGGATCGAAATTCAAAGGAAATCTGGAAACGCATAGGAGAAGGTCAGTATCGTAAGGATGGAGATCTGTGCTTATCCTTATCCCCCTCCAGCCATCACTTAAGAACGCTGAGAACTGAGCAACATGCAACTCGGGTAGAGACTTACTCTGCACACTTAGTGACCTCAAGTGTTTAGTGCTTAGTTTGACCCTCATGCCTGGTCCGAGCTCTGCCACAAAACCTGACTCACTGACTCACCGAGAAGTCCACAGTGCAGGTTCGAGGGTAGGCAGGAAGACCAGGGCTGAATCGCCAGATAGTCTCCAAGTGGTTAAAGAGCTTGCCGTCCGTGCACACGGCCTGGAATAGGACACAGCGGCCAGTTAGCGCTCACTGTTAAGGAAGAGCTGGTGTCAAGGGGCCAGAGAGGCGGTTCTCAACCGTCAGGAACACGGGCATTTCCAGTACAGTTTATAACAGCAGCAAATTACAGTTACAAGTAACAAAAATAATTTTATGGTTGGGGGTCACCTCAACATGGAGAACTGTATTAAAGGGTCGCAGCATTAGGAAGGTTGAGAACCCCTGGGCTAGAGGTTTAGCTTGATGGAACTACTTGCACAGTACGTGTGGCACCGCCACCCAAAATTTTACTTTAATGTGACGTTAGGTAAATATTTAACACGTAGAAATCAGGTGATTACAGGCAAGGCCAAATAACCCTTGACTATGAAACTGCCGAGAACAAAGCGCCCTGCATCCTCCCAGACAGCTCACCTTGACCATGTGTGGTTTGACCATGGAGACCGCAGAGGTATAACGTTCCAACACAGGCGGAAACCCAACCTCCAACTGGGCTTTCAGATGACCCTTACGGCTGGACACCACCAGTGACTTCTTACACCACGGCACAAACTCTCGGTACTCCTGGACATTGGACACCACCTCATACATCTCCTGCATGGAGTACCTAGGACGAGAGGAGTCGAGAGAGGCCAAGGAACTGCCAGCCGGGTCTCTGCCCACAAACCAGGAACCCAGAGATACCTAGAGGATACATTATCTGTCCCTGTAGATGACAGGGTATCAGTTTTATTGATAGTCAGATCTCATTATTTTGTATGTGTGTGTATGGAACATGCGTGGAGACAGGAGAAAAAGCAGTCTGTTCTCTCCTTCCATCGTGGGGATTTGAGGAATCTTCAGGCTTGGTGGCAAGTGCCTTTACCTGCTGAGCCATGGGATTTTTTAAAAAGACAATCTTGTCTGGCCCAGGCTGACCTTAAACTCACTATGGAGCACAAGTTGGCTTCAAATTTATGATCCTCCTGCCTCAGCAGGGCTGTAAACAACTCTACAACCTGTGAATACGCACATAGGTAAATTACCTGTGCTGCCATCCTCGTCTATAATACACGGGAGTTAATACTTGGTGGTTCTGTGCTTGTGAGGACTAAATGCGACAGTTTATGTAAAATACCTACCTGTGCCGACTGGGGGTGTGGTTGAGTTGGCAGAATGCTTATTTGGCCTGAAGTTTTAGGTTCAGTCCCCAGCACCACATAAACCGGGGAGGGCTGCTGGGCAAGTGGTGGTGGAGAGATGGCCCGTTGGCTAAAAGCACTGGCTGCTCTTGCACAGGACCCAGGTTTGATTTCCAGCACCCACATCAGGTAGTGCACAGCTTACAACCTTGGTAACTCCACACTGAGGATCAAACAACTCTGGTCTCCAAGGACACCTGCACTCGTGTGTGTGTGTGTGTGTGTGTGTGTGTGTGTGTGTGTGTGTGTGTGTGTGTGTACGTGTACACACTCACATACAGTTACACGTAATCAAAAAATAAATAGGTGGGCATGGTAGTACTCGCCTGTAATTCAGCACTCAGGATGGTTTACCCATTCAACCTAGCAGCTAGTACATAACAAGGGCTCAAAATAGCTATTCTGTCTGGGCATGATAGCACCCGCCTTTAATCCCAGCACTCCAGAAGCAGGCGGATCTCTGTGAGTTCAAGGCCAGCCTGGACCAAGTGAGTTCCAGGACAGCCAGGGCAACACAGAGAAACCCTGTCTCAAAAAACAAAATAAAATGCATACACACACACACACACACACACACACACACACACTCGGACACTTTTTTTATCCTGGTGTGACCAGACACCAGACAGCCTGGGAATTGAATCCGTCCTCTGGAACATCAGTCAGTGCTCTTAAACAATCTCTCTCCTCAGAACACATTTTTTAATTTGTCAGAAAAATAATACCCTGTGTCTTTTTCTTCTTTAATGTGTTACTCCAGGCATGGTAACACATGCCTTTAAACCCAGCACTCAGGTCGTCTACAGTGAGTTCCAAGACAGCCAGGGCTGTTACACAGAGACCTGACTCAAATAATTAAATAGTATTTTACATTTATGTAACTGTGTATGGGAGCTGTACCACAGTGTGCACCGAGGTCAAGACAACCCCCAAGAGTTGGCTCTCCCCTTCCACCATGTAGATCCAGGGGATCCAACTCAGGTCGTCAGCCTTGGCAGCCAGTACCCACACCTCCAGAGCCACCCCGTTTTTAAATAAGGTCTACCTGTGCAACCTGTGCTGCAGGTCAGGGGCTGTAACTGACAGCGATCCTCCTGCCCAAGCCTCCAGAGCGCTAAAGTTGTCGGCATGCACCACTACCGTACCATACCAAACACACCATACATATGTGTATGTTGGGGGTGGGGGGTATGCACACATGCATGTGCCCACAAGGTCCTCTGGAGCTGGAGATGAGGTAGGTGCTGGGAACTGAATTCTGCAGTACAGGCTCCTAGTCATTAAACCATTTCTCCCCCCCCCCATTTTTTTATAGTTAAAATATTTTTAGGTTTATTTTTATTATAAGTGCTTTTTCTGCATGTGTACATTTGTGCACCACACGTGTGCTGGTGCTGGAGGAGATGGTTGAACCTCCACGTGGGGCTGGGATTCAAGCC